TCGAGGGCGCTGCGCATGCGACCGATCCTAACCCTCGCGCCACGCTGCATAGCTTCGATCAGGACGCCCCTCACACATCCACGCTCGCACAAATCGACCTGGCGCTGCGACAGCCATCCCAGCTCAATATCACGGCCGCGCTATCGCCTTCCTCGGTCGCATTCTCGGCAGCAGCTCGTCATCTCTCGAGAGTACACGTTTCGTCCTTCCCGCATCCTTCGTTGGACCGTATACCCGCTCACCGAAGCTCAACGCCTTACTCGATCCCCAACACACGTGCCATCCATGTCTTTTATCCCAACGCCGCCGCCGCACATGCCTTGAATCCCGGCACCAATCCGCGTTGCGAATCGCCAAGCTCTGTCGCCAGTATCGACGGTCGTGCTCTCAGCAGCAGGCGCACCGCCTCGAAAAGAAGCAAGGACGAAGCACGCAGCGCTTCAGATTACGTGCCGCTATGGAACGCCTCAACAACGACCGTTTCTTCGGCAGCTGCACCGCAGCTCGCTTCCGCATCTTCACTGCTGCCGCTTTCCCTCGAGCAGCGCTTTGACGGCCTGGCTTTGCTGTCCTCCGATCAATCCGACTCAACCCCCTTCGGCTCGGCAGTCTATTCCGTTCCTGTCGCCCTGATAGCCGGCGCCACATACGATGATATCCGAGCTAGCTCAAGCTCAGTCAATTCAGCCGCCCTATCTGCGCAGAGCTCGTTGGCAGGCTCACGTTCATCCGCCTATGCATCCGAACCCGGCCAAGATACCCTCTTCGACACGGCGCCTCTGAATCAGAGAGACACGGCTGACTGGGCTCACTCGGAACAGAGCAGCTCCACTTGGCACTCCTCCTCTTCCTCGAACAAGTCTTCCGAGTCCTCGTCCAGCTCGTCTTCATCTTCCTCCTCGAGGTCTCCTACACCCACTATCTCTGCAAGGCCTCATCTCACGACGTCCACTGTCCAACACGACTCTTCCGGCAGCCACAGTAGCGGTTCCAGCACACCCACACAAAATCACAGCCTTTCGGCTCATCAGCTTGAAAACGCCCTCTTCGGTCCGTATTCGGTTCTCACTGCTGCAGCCCATGCCTCCCGTAGCTTCGAACAACGGCGCAGCGCACTTGGCCCGACTTCGGTCGATACCTCCGACGCTACCGAACCAGCGCCCCTGTGGACTGGTTCGTTTGCATCACCCAAGCATCGCCAGCTGCATTACGCCTTCGAGCACGGCGCCTATGGAATTCCCAAACGTCACCCGTGGGCGGCCGTGCGTGGCAACGGAAAGAGAGCGCAGTCGGCTCCCAAACCCGCTCCGAGGACAGGCGCAGTAGGCATGCTCGCGGCGGCAGCCGACTTCCTCACCGGAGCGTCATCAGCTACTGGCCCTCCCGTCACAAAGGAGAAGCTCGGCGGCGAGAGCGTCATCGCCGAGGACGGTCGGCGCCTCGGCCTCAATTCCCCCATTCGCGAGCATGGTCGCATCGTCCAAGATCGACTGCAATCCGTTCAAGTGGGCGAGGATGCGTATTTCCTACGTCCCGACTCCATTGGCGTGGCGGACGGAGTGGGAGGATGGGCCTCTCGCGCCGGCGCAGATCCGGCGCTCTTCTCTCGCCTGCTCATGCACTTTTGCGCCGCCGAGCTGAGCAAATTTGACGGGCTCAGCGCCGACGAATTGGCGGCGCAAAACGGCAGGAAGCTTCGCGAGTGGCAAGATGTCGACCCGGTCGAAGTGATGCATACCGCGTGGGAGCGTTGCGTGCGCGCCTCGCGTCGCGAAGGCATTCTGGGTTCGTCGACGGCGCTGATAGCCGTGCTTCGAGGCGATGAGCTGCGCATCGCCAACTTGGGCGACTGCGTCCTACTCATCATCCGTGCGGGCGAGCTGCTGTTCCGCTCCACCGAACAACAGCATTCGTTCAACTTCCCCGTCCAGCTCGGCATGATGGGTCATACGGCCGAGAGCGTCACCATCGCGGCGAACCGAACCCTGGCGCGTGACGGCTACCTGCAATCCGGCGCATCGGACGACCTCGACGACAATGCGCCAAACCCACTCGGCACCACAACGCCGGCGTCCATGGACGAAGCACGCAGACATCGGCCAGCCGGGACCCCTGAAACCGAAGAAGGTGACGAGGCCGAAGAGGCCGAGTGGGACGAGCCTCGACGCGATGCAGGACGATGGGCAGTCAAGGTGCAGAAAGGAGACATCATCATCGTAGGCAGCGACGGTCTCGTCGACAACTTGTTCGACGAGGACATTGTGGAGGAAGTGCACAAGTTCGCCCCTCCTCCCGCCTCGCACGGCGCGGATGTCAATGCCGGTGTTCCAGCAGCGAACACAGAGGGCGAGACAGAGCACATTTTGCCGCAAGATTTCAGTCCTCAACTCGTATCGGAGGCACTGTGCTCGCGCGCCAAGGCTGTCTCGGAAGACTCTCGTGCAGTCAGCTCGCCTTTCCAGCAACGAGCCATGGAGGAGGGTCTGCACTACGTCGGCGGCAAGCACGACGACATCTCGGTGGTGGTCGCTGTGGTCGGTGACCCTTCGGAGCGTTTGACACGAGGCGGATTCTCGGTACGATCGGGCCCAGACACGGAGTCGGGTTCGTTCTCCACCGAGTCGCACGGAGCAGGACAGCTTTCTGCCTGAGTGGCCGCCTGATTCTGTGGACCGTATACCTCTCTTCGTCGCCTGCGGCGGGTACATGTTTGTCATCGGATTTCTCATCGATAAAGTCAGCCGCCTTTTGGACGCGCATATCAACAGCGAGAATTTCCAGCCATTGATCTGTTCAAGGGGGGCACTGGTCCTTGATCGATTTCCTCTTTGGTGTGCGGAATTGTATGCGAATGATGCGGGATGCGAAGGTGAGAGTCTACATGTAATCGGGGTTGCCGGTGGAGGTGAGGAGGTTTTGGTTTTGCTGAACCCAGGAGTTGACTGCGGAGCACTGCGAGTATAACTGGCCCGAGATGGGCAGCGATGCGATCTGGTCGGGGAGCACCTGGAACTGCATGAGCAGGCCGACGGCCATGTGCGGCATGAGGTGGCAGTGGAAAGGCCAGACACCCGGATTGTCGGCAACAAAGCGGAAGGCGATCCAGCTGAAGGCCGGCACGGAGAAGACGTCGCGACGCATCGGGTTGGTCTTGGCGGCGGCAAAGTTGGGGTTGCTTTGGGCCTGGAAGTTACCCGCGCCTGATCCGACGAGGAAGGGGGTGAAGCCGTGGAGGTGGAAGGGATGTTCGCCCTCGTCGAGGTTGTTGACAATCACATCCATGACGACGGCCTGCGAGTTGGTGACGATGAGCTCGTCCGGGTCGTTGTAGTAGGCGCCAACACTCGAGTTGGACGAAGCGCGCTGGGTGGTCTCGAAGGTGTAGGCCTTCATGAGAGAGGCCTGTGGGGCCATTTCGGAGGTGAAGGTGGTTTGGTTGAAAAAGGCATGCCAGTTGCTGTATGCGTCGAGGCCAAAGTTGACGACGAGCTTGGTAGTCATGTTGGAAGCTGGGGCATCGACTCGGGTGATGGGCACCAGCTGAGAGGTGCTGAGCGACTCTGTCACGTTGACGAGCGTGGCGTTGGTGGGATTGCTGAGCGGCTGTGCGGAGGCGGGGACGCCTTCGTAGCGCATGATGGCGTACTGGTCCATGACAAGGAAGGGATTGTCGTAGGCAAACATGTCGTCGAGCACCTCTGCGCGCACGGCGTAGGCACCGATGGGACGATCGGTGTCGATGATGACCGAGTATCGCTGTGCGACCATGAGGTTGAGGCTCTGGACGACGACAGGCTCTACCTCGGTGCCATCAGCCTCGATGACGGTCATGTTGTGACCATCGACGGAGAAGCGGAAGGTGGCCATGGAGCCTGCATTGATGACGCGCATGCGCACCCGCTTGTTGGCAGGCACGGTGAAGTTGTAGGCCGACTTGCCGTGTGGCTGGTCAGAGATGCAGGTAGTGCCGTTGGGTGCCAAGGGGCAGTTGGAAAAGCCGAGGCCGTTGATCATGGCGTAGTCAGGTGTGGGCTCGCTGCCTTGATCACCGCCTGGAGGACCTGCCTTGGACTTTGCAATGGCGGCGACGTTGAAGGCGTCAGCCTGATATGCGTCGTTGACGACAAAGATGAGATCGCGGTCGTAATCGGTCCTAATAGAGGAGCCGTTGGTGGTGGTCGCGTTGGTTGGAATGTTGGTGGTGTTGCTTGGGTTGGTCATCCTGAATTTTTCGTCGTCGCCGTGGAGGATGAGCGGACCGAAGAGGCCATCTGCATATGTGGGACCGTAGTGGGAATGCCACCAGTAGGATCCTGACTGCTGGACGGTCCAGTTGTAGGTGAAGGTGGAGCCGGGAGCAATGCCGCACTCTGTGATTCCTGCCGATCCGTCCATCTGGTTGGAGCCGCGCTGGAATTGACCATGCCAGTGGAGGGATGTGGGCACTGGCATGTCGTTTTGCACATGGACGATGATGCGGTCACCGATATTGGCCTGGACAAGTGGGCCTGGATAGCGACCATTGACGAGACGCATCTGTTTTGTGGTGCCAGCCGGGTTGGAAAGGACCTGGGTGAGGGTCCAGTTGGAGATTCGATCTTGAGGTGGAGCAAAACGATCCCACGTCGGGTCTAGAGTGAGCTGCGATGGATCTGGAAGATCCTCTCGCGGGATGAAGGCGAGGTCCGATGCGGTGGCGCCAGGGACCATCTTTGCGTTGGAAGCGGCTGCATCTTGTTGGGGTGTATGCTTGTGTTTGAGACCGAGACCGAGGCCAAGGCCAAGTGCGAGAGCTAGAACGGAGAGAAGAGCAGCCAGCGAGGCTAGCAGGATCAAGCGCCTCTTGGTGGGTGATGGAGAAGCTCGCGCGGCCTCTTTGAGGTTGGACGTTTCAGAGCCATTCTCGGCGAGCGAGAGCGACTTGGTGCTGCCGTGATTGTCGGAACCTTGGATCGGTGCTGCCGACATCATGTCGAAAGCGGATACTTGCAGGCTTGTGACTACGTCGTGGTGGCGTGGGAGGACCGACGTTGAATGTTGGTGGAGATGAGACAAGGTCGGAGCTGGCGATGAAAAGGGCACAGGTCGGGTATGCCGATGGAAGGTGATGCGGCGAAAAGCTTCTCGGATCCTGCAATCTGATGGTAGAATCGTACCTGCTCTGCGATGAGCAGATCAAGTCCAAGCTGCGAGAGACACAGAGCCTTCGCTTCAGGCCATCCCGGGCCAAACCAAGCAGCACCGAGTTTCGGTCGAGCCGAACGAGTGACCGATGCAGTCGGTAGGGCCGAAAGCAGAAGGGTGGCAGCCAGCGTGCCGCCGCCGCTACATCGACACCGAGCCCCTCGTCGGCCGCTCCGACGCATGTTCGCATCCTCTTTCTGGTGCAGGAACGGCAAGAGCGGCGGGCACGTTGCCGGCGGAAGAAGCCGAAGGACAAGGCGCGGCGGCCGAGTTGGACAGGCGGTGGCGAGTAGCCAAAAAGGGAAAAGTTGCCACCGCCCCCCGCGCTTGCGGTCAGACTGCCCTCAAGAGCATAAAGCCAAGCGAGCTGCACGACGAGCGAACGTGCTCGCGAGCTGCATGAGAATTTTCAGATTTTCCAGCAGCCGAGCGCAAGACGGTCTCTCGGGAAGAAAGCGCACGTTGGACCCTGCATCAAGCTGCCTTCTTCTCGTCTCGCCGCCGCCGCCGCCGCGGCTTCGCACCAACCCCCTCGCCAATGCATGGTCCAAGGCGAGCACCTCGAGGACCTCGCGAGACCAAAGGCTGGAGAGAGTATACTGACCCAAGGATACCTCCGTGTAATCTCTCAATACAATTGAACCGCCGAGCGAGACGACAAGCTGGGAGGGTTAGGGCTAAATGACCTCCGACGACCAGATACAGCACTCGAAAGGTCGGCCAACTCTCAGACGGCGGTTCGGTGACACTCCTGTTCTGCGAACCGTCGGCTGTCAAAGAGTGTCGAAACTGACCGCGCGGTGCCGATCCAGGGTTTGCTTTGATGCCCGCCTCGCTTCTACGCCACTCCCACCTCGACTTGGCCTGCCGCTCTGGGCAACTCGCCACATCGTACCTGCTTTGCACGTGCGTCCCTCTTGCTTTCTTCCAATTCGTCTCCGTCTGGACACGGCTATGCAAGCCGCCGCCTTGTCCCTACGCTTTCTTCCCGCCGGTCGCTCCGAGTCTGCCATGCCGCTGCCACCGCCGCCGCCGCCGCCGCATCATTGATGCACTCGCGCACGTTGCCACCACTCCCTGCGGCTCGACCCCGCCCGTGCTCGCCCGCCCGTCGCCGAGTTCTCAAATTGCCTCTCCCTCATTGGTCCTCTCTGCCTAAACGACCACGGCGTTCTCGCTACGACACTGTTCCCACCCAAGCTGGCATTCTTAATGTTCCTGAAACAGCCACTCGGATCCTCTTTGGCGAGCTCCTTCTCTGTCTCAGTGCACATTTACTGGTGCTGCAGCCATCTTGAACATTCTTCTCGGACAGGAATCACCTCGCCCGCTCTACTCTATAAAGACGCACCACCTCTTCCACTCCTTGCACCCATTGCACCTCAAGAAAGCCTCCTCCTCCACCCATCGACGGCATCATGAAGGCTACCCTCGCCACCGTCTCGGCCACTGCCGCCCTTGTTGCCGCCGCCAGCGTCGCGGCTGGCCCCATCGAGAAGCGCGCCAAGATCGCTCAGACCTTCTCGCCCCCCTCGGCCTCGCCCCTCCAGCAGTCGTCCAACTACGTTGGTGCCAACAATGGCTCTCTACCCAAGCACGAGGTCGTCGCCGGCAAGGCCTTCGACCGCATCGTCCAGATCTGGCTCGAGAACACCGACTACGAGGCCGCTATCTCCACCCCCGCCATGCAGGCTCTCCTCCCGCAGGGCGTTCTCTTCGACAACTACTACGCCGTCACCCACCCTTCGGAGCCCAACTACATCGCCTCGGTCACCGGTGATTTCTGGGGCCTCTCCGACGACGCCTTCTACCACGTCCCCACCAACATCACCACCCTCTTCGACCTCCTCGACGACGGCGGCAAGGCAGGCAAGCCCATCTCCTACGCCTGCTACCAGGAGAACATGCCCTACGACGGCTTCACCGGATTCAACTACACCTCCAAGAACTACGTCACCCCTGGCGCCTCCAACTACACCTACTACGTCCGCAAGCACAACCCTTGCGCCATCATGGACTACGTCTCCGGCAACAAGACCCGTGCGCTCTACAACCGCAACTTCAACGACCTCGCCGTCGACGTCAACGCATCCGCGCTCCCTCAGTGGACCTTCATCACGCCCAACATGGTCAACGACGGTCACGACACCACCGCCGCCTTCTTCTCCAACTTCACCAGCTACTTCCTGCCCACTCTGCTCAACAACACCAACTTCAACTCCAACAGGACCCTCGTCCTCCTCACTTTCGATGAAAACGATAGCTACACGGCTGCCAACCGCATCTTCACCATCGCCCTCGGTGGTGCTGTGCCCGCCAACCTCAAGAACACCACCGACCACACCTACATGACCCACTACTCGGCCATCTCCTCGGTCGAGGCCAACTGGAACCTCAAGTCGCTCGGCCGCGGCGATGTCAACAAGACCATGGCCAACGTGTTCCCCATCTTTGCCGACTCCTTCGGCTACTCGAACACCGACGTTGCCGAGGCTGACATTCCCCAGACCAACATCACTGGTGTCGCACCTGGCCCCTTCTCGCTCACTAGCAACACGGCCTTCTACGCTCCCGACGATGTCAAGGTCGTCGGCGCAGGAGGTGAGCCCGTGCTGATCAAGAGTGGCCTCAACACCTCGCAGACCCTTGCCACTCTCCCGCAGACCAACCTGACCGCGCTCGGTCAGAAGAACGTCTGGAGCACCGACCCCGGCTTCAACAACGTCAACGTCTCCACTGGCGCTGCTGCCGGTACTTCGGCCGCCAAGACCAACGCTGCTGCCAAGCCCCTCGTGGCTGGTACCGGCATCGTTGCTGGCGCCCTCTTCGCCTCCTTCGCCATCCTCCTTTAGACGTGCGCTTTGCCTCTACTGCTGGGCGCCTCTCTCGTTTGTACCTCTGCGCCCTGCTTTTCTTCGAATCGCAGTCAAGCCTCCGCCTGACACTGCCGTCGTTGAGGAGCCACTCTTGTCAAAAGTAGGGAAAAAATTCTGGAAATTCACTTGCTACCGCTGACGACATCGCCGTGAAATCATGCTTCTTTACGGCTCACATCGAGAGACTAGCTCGCATCTTGACATCGAGAGGGTACTGCTGGCCGCTTGAGCCGAGCTTGCCACTTTGTTGTCGGATCCGGTCGTACTCGCGCTCGAAGAACCACTCTTTTGCACCGAATGCAGGCTCGAGCTCGTCAAACCAGCTGACTTTTGCGTCGAACCTTGCAAACATGGTCTCGCGGCACCATGACGGGTTTCTAGCTTGGAGGAAGCGCAAAACAAAGACTTTCTCGTGTCCGGGATGCGTGGCTCCAGCACCTGGCGTTGACGATGGAACTTCAGCGATGCCCACCACCTGAATTTTGCCGGGCGAAGCCGACATCGACGGCCCCTGAACGCTTCTAGCCGTTCCGGCAACACTTGACACTGCCGATGCCAAGGTTTACCTCAAGTCAGTGTCCATGCGTAGGCAAAGATGAAGGATGAAGAAGTGCTTACGGGCTGTTTTGTAAATCTCAAAGGCTCGTAGCAGAGGGACCTCGAAGAAGTGCTTTGCGCCCGTATCTCTTTCCACAAACATGTAGTACGGCACCATGCCCATGCGCACCTGTCTGCGCCACATGTCGGCCCACGTTGCTGGATCGTCATTGATACCGCGGATGAGGGGAGCTTGGCAGCGAATCTGTGCGCCCGTAGCTCGGATCCTTCGCACCGCCTCCTTCACGAGCGGCGTGCTCAGCTCGACAGGGTGGGAAAAATGTGCCATGATCGACAGCTGTCGGCCGCTGTCGCAAATCCGCCGGAAGAGTTGCAGAGTCGAGGCGGCGTCGGCGTCGTTGACAAATCTCTCTGGCCAGTACGCCAGCGATTTGGTTCCGATCCGGATCGTTGCCAAATGCGACAGGCGTGCATCTTCGAGGATGGGGGCGAGATAGCGCTCCCAGTGCCGAGTCTTCATCACCATTGGATCGCCGCCGGTGAAGAGCAGGTCGCTCACATCAGGACTGTGTGCGAGATAGTCGGCGAGACGATGCGCATCCTTGGACTGGAATGCCTGTTCCGATCCCACCGCTGTGAATTGCGCCCATCGGAAGCAGTAAGTGCAGAAGCTGTGACAGTACTGAGCCTCTGTTGGGAAAAAGAGCACCGTCTCGCGATACTTGTGCTGGATCCCCGGCAGTGGCGCTTCGTCTTCGCAACGCTGAGTCGGATCCTTGGGCACATTTTCCGTTTTTTGGTTTGCGGGATGAGGATTGAGCTTGGCTCGAATCTGCTCAGCCATCGACCGAATGGTCACTTTGTCGGCATGGCTGCGAAGCGTTAGCTTGAGTCGATGCAGCTCAGACGAAGCTAGCATGTCAGGTTGCGGAAAGACCAGCCGAAAGATGGGGTCGTTCGGAATGTTGGACCAGTCGATCAACTGCTCTACAACGTAGTTGTTGGCTCGCATCGGGAAGATATGCGCCGCTGCCTTGTAGTCCTCTACATTCAGGTAAGGAGCTCGTTCCGCAAGGAGGCGATGTATGCCGGATGTTGATATCATGCGGTACTCTAACGGCGGCTGCGAATAGCCGCTGACGGGTTCGCGAAATGGAGAAGCGTCGATGGCTGACGCAGTGCTTAACGTAGGGGCAGACTTGTAGCTCATCTCTGGAAGACGCCTGGCTTCCGCGGTGCTAGATAACCATCTCTTCTTTGCCAAGAGTATGCCAGGACGTGCTTTTGACCGTCGAAACGAGTTCTCGAGGAAGGCCATGTTGACAATCCTGATGGTCTGCTTGTGCGCGACTGGTGCTGCAAGATGAAGGAAGCTGGCAAGTGTTCTTGTAGGGCGAAAGGGCGGATGATGAGCGAGGTGGCTGCTTGGAGGAGAGACCGGAGTCCGTGGCTGTGAGGCTTTTCGAAGTCTGCGCAGACTCATGTGACCGGCCGTTGCAAGCGTTGAAGGATATCGAATAGGAGCGGACTCGACTGATGGATTGAGTTAAGCTATGTTCGTCGAAGTGGTGATTCTGCGGTCGCTTGGGAATTCTAACCATCCCGTCGCTGCCAAGATATTTCGCATGTGTTGTGACCTTGACGACACATTCAGCTAATATCGCGGGCCACGATGGCGTCATAGGATGCGAAGCTTCCGGACGTTGACATGCTGGTGCCAAGTTCCAGCCAAGGTCACAAGACAAGGTCGCATGACTGTTGACTTTCGCTTGCATAGATGCTTCAAGCTTGAGTCTGCCGACGAGACTGCATTCTTGGCGGGATCAAGCATTTGTGAGCTCGGCGCTTCGCGAAGGGGTGTTTCGCGAGGGTCAGGGCGTCCAAATCCAGACCGCAGCAAGTTTGGGAGTGGCTTCGTGGTTGACTGAGAAAGATCGTGTCGACACGAGGTCGGCTGTGGAGCTCCTATTCGCAGTTACATGCATCGCTGTGATAGCCAAAGAAACGGGACTGCTGGAGATGGATTCCAGAGAAGGGGAGAGTGAAGCAGAACGATGGCTCGGAGCTTCTCCGAATCTATCCATGATAGCAGCATAAAAGCACTTCGCGAGACTCCATCTCTTCGACAAACACTATAGCACCTCCTCCGCAGCGCCGAACGACGAAATGGTTCTCTCTATGTCCCGCAATACAGCCAGACTGCTGACAGTCAACTTGGCTGCCCCGACGCGAGCTACGTGGCGACCACTGGGCTATAGTTCGATGCGCGCACTCCGTGCATGCCCGTGCAGTTCAGCTGTACCGAGGTGCGAGCCCAGCACAGCTCGCTCTGCGGCTGGCAACGAGGAGGCCGAGGTCGAATGGATCAGCTTTGCAGGCCGGACGGTGGCACGCTCTGGGCTCGAAGAGGGAGAGACTCTGTTGGAAGCAGCTCGTGCAAAGGGAGTCGAGCTCGAAGGTGCGTCGCCACGAGGAGATTCAAAATCTTGCTTGTTGCCACGATTGGGCTCGCGCAAACTGACGTGACTGCATCCGGACTACGATGAGATCGACAGGTGCTTGTGATGGGAATCTGGCGTGCTCGACGTGCCATGTGGTGCTGGAAGAGCGCATCTTCGGCATGCTGGATAGGCCTTCCGATCAAGAATCGGATCTCTTGGACCTTGCCCACGGTCTTGAACGTTGGTGAGTGCTCAAATCGTCGAGAAAGTCCTTGCCATTCATTGATCTGCGGCCTACTGACACTTCTTCTACGTTGCGACTCAGCTCTCGACTCGGCTGTCAAGTCAAATTGTCTCAGCTGAGGGATGTGGCTAGCAAAGTCACGGTGAAGCTACCGAACGCCCTCGCGACGGGTGATGCCTCAGACAGCCACGTCGCGGCGGGAAGAGAAGGCGGAGCAGGCTAGCCAGTGCAGCAGCTGCGTGATTCTTCGTTTTCGGTTTGGATTTCTGGGCCCCTTTTTCTTTGCCTTTTTTTAAAACTCGAATATTTTGGCGCTGCTGCAGCTGCTGCGCTATGTTGTGCGGGAAATCACGGCTCGCTTCCGCGGAGCTCGGGAGTAAGGACGCACGGATGCTCCTCAACCCGCCCCTTTACCTCCACTTGCATGATTCGCACCTGGGGAGGCGAGAGCTGTCACACTGCTGTGCTGGAACTTGCGGGCGTGGCAGCCAGGGTTGCGCCTGTCGGCTGTTGCGGCCTCGATCGCGTGTCGTGCGCGTGCTGGTGACTTCGCAACGCAATCCGTTCGGACCCAGCGACGACCTGAGTGTGACGATAAAAGGCAGGTCCCCAAACCCTAAGCTTCTTCTCCCTCGTCACACTTGCACGCAGCTTGGACTTACCTTCATCTTACCACTTTCGGCGCCCTCCGACACGTCAACGTAGCCGCGATCAGCCCAGAAGGTCTCTCGTTGAGCGCAGACGCGTCTCGTGCCAGGCGCGCCTCAGCCATCGGACCTCGACGCGCAACGCACCCCTGCAGGCCGCTCGGTCCGCTGCCTCCTCTTCCTCGATTCGCTCGATTCGCTCGCTTTCTCGTGGCTTTCAGCCTAGCCTAGCCATGTCAGCTGGACCGTCGGAAGCGGCAGAGGCGCAAAGCGTAACTAGCATGCAGGCTATCTGGGAGCAGGAGTAAGTTCCCGCTTTCCTACCTCGAGCCGACCTGCACCTTTGTCGGCGTTCCTGACCAGATCATCCCGCCTTCCTCTTTGCGGTCCACCTTTTCCTTCCAACAGCGCCGATCTCGCCATCTGCACCACCTGCGGCAACCAGTACCCGTCGGTTCAAGGCCCGCAAGAGTGCCCGGTCTGCTACGGTGAGTACCGCTCCGCTGCGTCCTGGCCATTTCTACCGACGCCAGGATGCCAATCGCACAAATGAAACCGGCGGGAAGCCTGGGATAGGCCAGCTGACCCTGCGATCCCGTCAAACACTCTGGTCAGATGATCGCCAGTATCCGTGCCCGACCGGCCAAGCCTACACATCGCCGAGAGAGCTGGCTGGCAAAACCTCATTCGAGCTTGTGCCAGAGCCAGAGGATGAAAGGATCATTCGCGTCAAGCTTGAGCCTCCCGTCGCCATCGGCCAAACCCCTTTCATCCTCCTCACCGCTCAAGGCGTCGTAGTATGGGACTGTTGCGGCTTCGTCTCGGTCGACTTGATGCGTCGCATCCAACAACAAAGCCCCACCGGCAGGGTTCTCGCCATCTTCATATCTCATCCCCACTTCTTCGGCACGAGCCTCACCTGGGCCAAGCTGCTGGATTGCAAAGTCTTCATCTCCAAGCCAGACCGCCTTTGGTACCAGCGCGGCCTCGAATCTGCTCAACCACACCCAGACATTGCAGCGCGCAAAAAATTCGTCGTCGAGGTAGATCAAGACACTTTCACTCTGCCGCACCTGCCTTCCATAACGCTCGTCCGCTGCGGCGGTCATTTCCCGGGCTCCAATGTGCTTCATTGGGATCGCGATGCCGACGCTCCGGAGGAACAGGCTCGGCGCGGCGCTGCAGTGCTATGTGCCGACACCTTTATGGTGATGCCCGATCGCAAGCGCTTCACTTTCGCCTACAGCTTCCCCAACAACATCCCACTTCCGCCACACGACGTCGAACGCATCTGGACGCAGATGCGAAGCTTCAACTGGTCGGCCACTTACGGCGGCTGGCCAGGCCGTCACATCCTGACCGACTCCCGAGCTACGCTTCTTCGCTGTGCTCGCTACTATGTGCAGATGGAAGGTCACTCCTCCGAAGCCTTCCAAGAGCTGCGCGAGGCTCGAGCTTGATCTTCTAATCCTCGCCAGCGCCTTTCGATCGATGGCTCTGCATGACCCAGCCGAGCTTAATCTTGCTCTCGGCATGTCCCACCGGGCCCACAAATGCAGACGCTGTCCCCTTCATCCCTGACTTCATTAAGCTGTTGTGCATCGCCTCCGCCCGCTGAAGGACGGTGCTGCTGCAAGCCTCTGCGCAAATGACAAGATGAAATCCACCCTCTCGCGCTTTGTCCGACCCAGGTGCTGCACCAGCCTGCGAGACGTGCCGCGAACTCAGCGCAGTCCGTCTTGGCTGCGCAGCGGTGCCTCTGCGTTTGCCGCCTCAAGGTATTCAGCCTCAATGCTGCAGCTTGAAAGACATGCATGTCACAGTATGAAAAGCTCGGCCGCATGTCAGCTATTGTTGCAGTGGTGGGTCCATGATCGGGTGGGACTTAGGGTTGGCGGCTCCGCCACACACAGCACACTTCGCCTCGTCCCCCGCTTCCGACCCCTTTCCAGATACTTTTAAGGAACGGCGGGAAAGGGAACGTTGCCACACTCTGTCCCACCTCTCCCGCATCCCGCCCAGGTCGACCATTGATCGCCTCGTCACTGCGTGCGCCTATCGCCGTCGTCCTTTCCTTCCGCTGCGCGATCTCACCGTCCAGCATGCCGCCATTGCGCGGCCACGACTCGACCCGCAAGTTTCATTGCGAGGTGCAGGGATGCTCGGCTTCCTTCGTCAAGCGTGCCCACCTGCGCAGGCACGAGATGACGCACACGCAGAGGCGCGACTTTCACTGCCCCGGCTGCAATCGTGCCTTTTCGCGCAACGATAGCATGTCCCGCCATCTCCGTCGCAAACATCCGCATCTTTATCGCGCACATCAAAACACCTCTCTAGACCCCAGCGACGTCGACCATCTTCATCTGCCAAGGCTCTCGACCGTAGTGGGCTTGTCGACAACGGTCGGCAACATAGCCTCCTCGAGCGGCACCACGTTGTCCTCTCGACCATCGCCCTTCGAACATCATTCCAATAGTCCCGTGCAAAGTCGACAAGACGACCATCGGTCGTTCGGTACCCAACTCACAAGGCCAGCGTCGACTTCAGACATGTATGCTCATCCTGGTTTGCTACATACATCTCAGGGCCTGGCGGCGGGCCATTCTCGTGCCTCAGCCGCTCCTCAATTGTCCGAGTCGCCGAGCTCAGCGCAGGTAAGTCTGAAGCTGAAGTGTCGCTACGGGAAGATTATCTATATTGACAACAAATGCGTCGACGACAGGCCGATACTTTCCGCCCTTACCATCGTCCCGACTTCGCCGTCAAGGGCGAACACGATGCTTTCGAGCTGGCTGGCTTGCCCCTCGGCGTCTCTGGCGACTCGGAAGCCATGGATCGGTCGGATTCGACCAGACGCCCAACCGATGCGGAAGCTCAGATGCCTAGAAGTGACTGGGCCCAGTATTCAGAGACTCAAGCAGCAACCTCCATGCCCAGCAGGAGCGGATCTCTCACGGCTCCTCATTATCGCTTCCCATGGGAGAGACTTGACGAAGAGATGCCCAATGCTGTCCCTCCGGGCCTGGGCGGATGGCAGACATCTGGATCGGGTGCCGCTCCCAACAGCGGCGTTGCGCAGGATCCTTCGCGACGTGACTGCTTTAGAATGCCTTCTTCTCAAGCAGTCTTCGAACAGGCCGCTCTGCCGCCTGGCATTCCGTCCATGACGGAGGAATCGCACTTCGATCCACAAGGCGCTCCAGACTTGCTTCAGTCCGAGTTCTTCACCTACGTCATGCGGCCGCCAGGCCACGAAGAGTATGGCGCCGGCTTCGATACACGTGCTTTCGCATCCCAAGCTTCTGATCGCGTACGCGTCGAGCCGAGCCTCAACCCTTACCAGTCAGGCTCGGCCGGATCGTACGCTGGACACGATCCGCAAATGTCCCCCCAAGCTCGATCAGATGCTGCCGTGGACGACAAGTTCGAGGTGCACCTCCGCAGTATGTGCGAGGCGGCGCCAGGTGTACCTCCTCCCAGCACGGGTCAGTTGCAGCAAATCCTGACACACCTGGGTCTCGACCTCTCGGGTAGCCAAGGCCCTAGCTCCGAGGCTGTACGAAGCAACGCTCCTCACGCTCAAGGCTCTGTCTCGGAATCGAGTCTTTCAGCGCCGCCTATGATCCCATCGCAGGACGTGGCGCGAGCATCTTGGGACCCCGATCGTCTTGCGCCAATCGTGCCCAACGTCCATCTGCATCCTCATTCTCAAGCAACCTCCTCGCAGAACTCGTTCTACCTTCCTTCATTGACCGCATCACAGGCCGAATACCTCGGTCCCAACGCCACTTCGCATCGCAGGCCGCTGGACCGATCGATCAGCACGACTTCCTTTCCCTTCGATAGTGGCTCTCAAGATCGTGCCCCCCTGGTTCGAGCCCCAGGATTCGCTGGCGCCAGGGACGAGAGCGTCCCTGAAGCTGCTGAGAACTCAGAAAGCGAAACTGTCCAACCACGTGCCGGTTCAGCAAGCACGACAGCAAATTTCCTTAAGCCTCATGACTCGTTCAGTTCGCGGACGGCAACCTGGGACGAAGAAGGCGGCAGGAAGGATGCTCAAGCGGATGCGGCGCCGCGAAACCAAACGCACGATCCGATGTCCGGTGCTCAATGCTCAGGCGAGTCCGAGGAGATGGTACAGTCACCAAAGCATGGAAGAGAGGGGGACGAGGTTGCAGGTGAATCTTCTAGCCATGCCTCACTCCTCCTCGCTGAAGCCAGGCGACTTCTGGCGAGAGCATCCAATGCGCGGTTGCGTCTGTCGATAAGCTCCCACGGTCAGGCGGACCCGGAGATGGAGGAAGCTACTTCGTCTCCCAACACGCAGCACCGTGACAGCTCTGCATCGATTGCCACTTCAATCACCAGCGGGGATCTCTTGCAACTGGTAGTGGATCGCTTTCGCGCCTTTGCGCACCTGTGCCACGACTTCAAGCAACCATCGACTGCGCTGGTCGATCAACTCAAATCATCGGTGCCCGAGGTGATCAGAGACTTTATTCCTGTCTTTCATCCCCAGAGGATGTATTCGCAAAGGGCTCATTCCACGGAGGAGAATTTGGCAGTCCTCGCCCTCGCGTCCACTCTCAGTGGCGATGCAGAGATCAGAGAAGAGGGCTACCGGCTTGTTTGCTATCTCTACGGCGTGGTCGTCCTTTCGTACAAGCATTCCATGCATCTGGGAGGCAAGTCTTCTCCGACTCTGAACTGCCTCATGCTCATCGGCAAGCATGGCCTGCGTCAATCGACCCCGGAATTCTACCTCCGATTCGAGGAAAGCTACGGGCATATTCTACAGGACCTCGCGCGACTCGAGACGCGCCAGATCCGCCGTGATGAGGCCATGGATCGGCTGGACGTGGATCAGATCAAGGGCATGCCGAACGAAGAGCTCTGTTCGACCTGGACTCGCTGGTACGAGCACGAAAGTCGCAAAAGGACCCTGCTGCTATGCGCCATTTCGGACTCCCAAGCGTCGAGCTACTTCAGCCCGTTCAACATCGACCTCGCCGCTCATCCGGAGAGCCCACGGTGTCAATTCTTATTCGCTCACGTCAGTGAGCCCTGTCCCGGTCGCGTCTTTTTCTCTTGGCCGCCAAAGGCATGGGCAGCGCGCCTAGCCTGCAGTACCTCGGTGCCCTCGTCGGAATGTGCCGACAGCACCCATCGAGATGGCAGGCCCTTTTCGATCGCTGCTCATCTGGCGGATAGGTTGCTGCGACCCCACACAGCTCATGCGACTCGGCCACAGCTCTACCCTCGCTTCCGGACGTCGTTTGACTTTGGGCCCAGCAATCATGCTTCGGCTTCGTTCAAGGCGAAGCCCCTGCTCCCAAATGGCGAAGCGTCTGCTACGAGGTCTCTCAACGCGATGCCCGCTCCCATCATCGAGGTCGACCATGCCTCAAGCGTGTCGAACTCATCGAGTCGGAGGGAGTCTACTTCAGGGGGTGACGCTAAAGAGCAGGACAAGCGTGAGCTACGCATGGTCTCACAGCTCTACACGCTGGCCCTTCTGGAATCGATTCATGGTGCCTGGATGTCGGACACTGGATGGTGCCAGACGGCAGCATGGGGCGCTTCTGCATTGCCCGAACGCCTCGTGATCGACGAGGATGATTTTGACATGGCCAGCGCGAGCATGGCCGATCTTCCTGGCTGGCGGATAGGGCGGACGCTCAAGGCTACCCAGGTGGTGCATGCTCTGATGAATTGGTCCGAGATCTTCAGCGGGTGGAACGATGTCAGTCAGGCGGATTCGGACGCGGACGATGGAGCTCCTCGGGTGGAACTCAGCTTGAACGACGACGCGCAGCAGGCAACGATCCGATGGCAGGCCATCTTTCTGGGTCTCTGTTCGCCTTTGCCTACGCTTTGTTTCTTCTTGCAAGATGCTTCGCGTCTGGATGCCAAGGATCGGCAGCGACATGGCAAGATCTCGGCGCTCTTGGGCAAGTGGGTGCACTCGGCCCAGTGCAGAAGGGCGCTGATGCACGCCAGCACGATTCTGACGATGCTGCTCGCCACTGAGCAGCTGTCGGATCATGCGACGATCCGCCCGACCACAGCTCATGCGGCGTTCATGTCGCTGGTGGTGGTCGTCTGTGCTTACAAGTTGCTGCAAGTCGATGCCTCCGAGTCGAGCTCGGCGTCAAACGTGGACGATGCGCAGCGCGAAGAGCTCGTGCCTATGCGCCAGGTGTGGCCCAAGGTGCTTATGTCGCTTGCTCGAAGCGATGGACCGACGCCGGCACCAGCCTGTGTCGACCCGATAGGACGCCACAAGGAAGGTGACGACGACTGGCTTTGGGTCTCCTACTGGCATCGCAGATTCCAGCATCTGGGTCTCGCGGGCATTTTTCGAGAAGCCGAAGGCGGCCCTGGAGGATATGCAGACTGGCGTGCATCAGTCTCGGGGCCGTCGAATGGCGGCAGCTTTGTGGCGCGAGGAGCTGCGCAC